GTCGAAGTATATATGGTTTTGTGGATTCTTCGGTTTTAGTTTGTTATTATCATCATAGCTACCATCGATCCGATCGAACCTCACTGTTGATGGTAACATATTAGATTCAGAGCGTTTGTAGATCCATTGGTATTAGACAGTCGATTTGTTTGCATGCTATATCTTTTCCTGATTAGATTCATCTCAACGATTCATACTGGTAATATCCACCTAGCTGAGGATCTCATTTACTGTCCGTAACAGCCGATTTTTGTGCATATCAGCTATTTAGTCGATTTTCCCGTCTGGCTGGTCCCGAAGCGGCACACTTGGAACTGTTTGGGCAAAGACCGGTATGTTCCACCTTAAATTACTGATAAACTTTCTCTCTTCGTCAATTGTAGGGTCAAATTGATTCGCAAGTCTTGGGAGGAATTCGCAGGATCAGTTACCCCTACGTTGAAGCCAAGCGGATCTCTAGCTCCATCAAGCAGATCCTTCTGGCTTGCTGTGTGTTGATGCATTTTCGGTCCGACAGTTGGGTTACTACTACTGTAAACTCACATGGGTCTCATACCCATCTCCCTTGATGCAAATTCTATCACATTTCATGATAGCCCTTTGTAAAGGGATCTGCCAGGTTTTTGTCTATTTGCACATAAGCCACAGCTATTACTCTAGAGTTTCTCAACTTCCTAATAGACTTTAAACGTCTTTTAACGTGTCTTATTGACTTCGCATTATCCTTAGCACTATTCACTTTAATAATCACTGTTTGATTATCACAGTACAACAAAATAGTTTATTTGTCAAGAACTTGAATGTTGGTTATTTTTCCCACCTAATTGGGCTTTACAGTTGTGTCGATCCAATTGGATTTGTGCAGCATTTTCCATGTCGTTTACAGTGTCTGTTGAAAAGATAAAGTATATGTTGGCACCCTGTATATTGAGTTGTTCACTGCATCTCCATGTTGCATTTTGAGATTTCAACTTATTATTTTGGAATTTAAAGTCAAACCTTCCCTTGTGTGCTCAAACCATAACTTTCTGAAGGTGATTTGGAGGACTTCAAAAGTTGTATTTCGAATTTGCTTGCTGAAAATACTGAGCTAAAGGTAATGTGAGTTTAGTTTGCCTGGACCATTGTGGATTTCATATTGTCCATCTCACCGATTTTTTACCTTCTCTCATAATGCCAGGAAAAGTGAAGAAGTTTGAAAGTCAGGCGGAGATTGAGAGTTAAGCCTAAGTGCTTCTCTCTAAGTTTTCTAGTTAAACTCTGAGTTTGTTCTAGCTATATCCGGCTTCTATCTTAGCATCTAGAATATGCTTAGTATCTACTTTAATAGTTAGAAATATGTTGTGTCACCTGTGCTCCTCCGCCCAAATTTCACTGTTCCAAGGCTAAAGACCCCAACTCCTCCCTAAAAGGATGAAACCACTGGCAGCTGTAGTCAGATGCACTGACAATTGAAGTTCTCCCAACACGCCCTGCACTGACAGTAGGTGAGGCAAAGCTTGTCAGTTGCCGCTGCAGGTTTGACTTAATTGCAAAGCAGCATTGTATAGTCGATTAACTGTGTTTGTAACATATTTCTTCTCTCATCTCTGTGTTGGAGTGCTTGCAACATATATGTTGGGTGCTGTGCAACAGAGACGGAAGGTGTCCATGTGTGTTGTTTATGTAGCTTATCACTTGCTGCTCCCTTGCCCAGCGTATTGTCTTCTTGTGAGAGTGCTCGCAGCATATCTGTTGGTGTGTTAAGGCATGATTCCCATGGCTTGCGGGTCGTAGAACATAACACCAGAGTGTACCACCGTTGGCCTTGTGTACTGCTGGTAGTGGTTGCTTTAGCCTTTTGTATTGCTATGTTGTCTGTGAATGGATGCTGAACACTGAGTTTATAAGACCATAAGTTATTCATAGATCTGAAAGATGCAAAAAAAATAAAAATAAAGAGCGAAGCATTTCTTTCGGCCCACTTTTACTTCCCAAATTGCTGACGCCATATAACCAAAAATATCTAACCGGTCATACTTGGGAGATTGTATTTCAATTCCTAAAATATCTAACCGGTCGTAGGAGATTGTATTCAATTCCTAAAATATCCAACCGGCCATATAACCAAATGTCGTGACTAGAGCAATGTTCACGGGCCGAGATGCCTCTAGATCTTCTTCGCCACGGCCCAACAGGTTCAGCAGCAGCAGCAGACGCCTGACCGGAATAATACCGTGGGCAGAAGAAGATGCGGCAGGTGCTGCGAAGCCGCGGGCATGTACTCGAGCGACGGCCGGCCGCTCGTCCGCTCGGCGCTCGGCAGCCACTAAAGTCGATGGATGGTCCGAGCGAGCCAGCCGTCTGTCACGTCGCCAACTAACGACGTCAAGGTCAGGACTCAGGAGCATCCATGCATGTTGACCCAAATTGTCGTGTCGTCGATTGTGCAACCTGCACCGTATCGAAAAGTCGTACGTAGCCGCCACGCTGGGCATTGGTCTCTAGCTAGTTCGTGAGT